TCAGGGATGTCCTGATAGACGTAAGCATGTTTTTCTCATGAACGGCAGAAAACACGCCTGTTATAAAAAGAAGTGCAGTTACTGCGACGATCTTCATGGGAGAGTCTTTCTGTAATTCTACCAGGGGCTAACGTTTACTGAGTATCAATAGGAAGCCTTTTATAGGCGTGTGTTTGCGCCCTCACTCGTTTTGGCTATGAACATCCCACTTATTGCCATTGGCCTTTTCCAGGCCTGAATCAGGTCAGAACTTCTCTCGAAAACATGCACGAAGCTGGTCTAGGAAGGTAATTGGAACGGAACGGTTAGTGTCTATAAGCAGGTTCGCGATTACTGGATTAGATTGCTACTTGATAATACTGTTTGCTTGGAAACTGTATCCTCGATCCCGATCTAAGCAGCCGTTTGATTTCCCCTCCTGCACCCTTCATTCAGATAACTCAAAGCCTCTGTCGCTTTCTTCAGTCATTTTAGACTTATCTGCGACAAAAGCATAAAGTGAGCTCCTCTTTTTTACTCTTTCCCTGGTCGTTGTTTTACACTCCATCGTTCGATCGGTGTTAAATTGTACGTTGTAGAAAACTGAGTTATTGAATACAAGACCAGTAGTATTTTGTGACGGCTCATTTGGTGGGAGGTATGGAAGTCCTCGGGACCTCAACGAGTGAGTACCTAGACATCTGGTCAGTACCCTTATGAAGGCAGAATGTGTAACACACTTTAGTAAAGGATTCTACTGATGAATGACTCCGCGAGAAGAATAATGAGCGTGAACTGGTGCCCATCAATCTCTTTTTAAGCTGTAAATCTCGCAGAAAAGACAACATCCGTTTAATCTTGCTTACTGTAGCTCTTTTTTGCAATTAAAAGGTGTCGTTGGTGGTACTTTGAGTTTTGTGGATGTTTAGAGATATCACAAATGAAAGATCTGATTACTCCCCGCATCCAGCGGTAGCAAATGCACATCTACAATTGAATGCCGATCACAAGCTTATTCATGATAGACTGCGACGTTACACGAGTTTAGGGAATAAGATGCGAAGTCGTTTTCCATCCAGTGAGTTTCTCCTTGTCTGCGTGCTATCAGACGACAGTCGGAGATGGGGCCATTTTAAACTTGTCCGCCGTAAAATGCAGAACGTTAGCTCCTTTGTTCTGCTCTCCCCTTTTCGCTGTTTTTCACTCCTTCGTTGGATCAGTGTTTAAATATACGTTGTCGAAAAGGGAGTTGCTGAAATCGAATCAGTAGTATGTTTGAGTTGTAACGGCTCATTGGATGAGGGGGTTTGGGAGTTCTGGCAGACCGCCTGCGGTGAGTACCCAGACGTCTCTTACGCACACTTACGGTGAGGAAATTTACGACGTACTTTAGTAAAGAGTTCCACTGATGAATGACTCCGGGAGAAAAGTTAGGAGCCTTGACTGGTGTCTCACGGTCCCCTTTTTATATAGCAATCTTGTCGTTCGAGCTTTCGAAAAGATTTCCCCGGTCAACAGCAAGAAGAGCAAGTGCACTTAACAATTAACACTTCGTCTCAAGGTCGCTGTGCCTTGTCTATAGTGGGGATGGTAGGGATTTAAGGCGGTCACGCCTAGATTGTATGCAAATTTTCGAGTCCAAGAACAACCTTTCTAGCACATTGTTCTACATCTTTTAGAAGCTCTATGATTCTCCGAGGCCACAGCTGCCAATCGTGCGCAGCATATCCTAGAAACGGTCAGACAAATGCTTAGCATATCCCACCGAAGATGTCAGAATTTGGGCTTACAAATGTTCTGTGTATCGCATTCATGGTTGACATTACCCTCTGGCGTCTTTGGAACACTGCGTAGTTACGCATAAGTGGTATTTTACGAATACTCCAAGATCCTTATCCACATTTACGTTTTTAATTGGTTTGTTCGCAAAAAGATATTGTCATGAAGATGCACTCTTCTGCATCTTGCTGACATACTGTGCAGTGTCACCCATTGAATTTCATGCACCAGATCTCACTCCGTGTCTGCAATTTTTCAAAGTGTCGGTGTAATATCTGGGTGGTCTACTGCATCTTTTATCGTCCTCCACAGCTTAAAATAATCTTCAAAGAGCGTTGAATCTGGCCCTCCTTCTTTTATTGTGTCAACTACATAGATCGTGAATAGGATAAGTCCAAGCACTGATCATTTTGGGACTCCCCTTCTAACAGGCGCCCATTCTGAACAGTAGCCATCCGCAGTAACGTTTTTGTCTTTTGCGGAGTCTTCAATCAACTTCAAAAGTTACTCTCCAGTTTCTAGATGTGGCATCTTTAGGATGATAAATTAATGGTCTAAATGTGGTCGAAGCGAATGCTATCAGATGGGTGTCTTTATCCACCGCCTTTGACCAACGTCGCAAGCCAGGTAAGGAGGTTTGTAAGACAGAAACCAAGCTGGACTGAGCTGATTTGACAGCGGGGCGCTTTTAAAGGCATGATCAGTTTTTCAACTATCCTCTCTATCAGCTTACAGCAGATGCATGTTAGACGGATTGTTCGGTAGTTGGTGGAATACAGCCATGATCCTCCCTTATAGAAAAGTACAAAGTTTGTCCATTTTCATGTATCGGACAATTCATCAGTTTCAAGCGATTTTCAGAATATGGTACTTAGTGGTTCAGATACTTCATCAAGTAGTTGACGTAGGAGTACACCCAGGATTTTATTCGGTTCAAGTGACTCCGCCGGATACAACTTCTTCAACAATGTCAAAACTAGTTGCGACGTTAATCATTCTGTACTCATAAGTGGGCTGTTGACGAAATGTGGCGAGGGACTGGTTTAAAGAGGTGTTCCGTGGTATAAAAACTTTTGAAAAATACTGAAATAAGCTTGGTTTTTTGAAGGTCAGCGCTCAAAATATGGTTGTCTTTTGACTTTCAATTTTGCCACAACCGCAGTTCGCTATTTAAGCATTGAGACCCTGAGCCACTAAGAACCTCGGCAACCTCGGAAAAGCTCAGGGCTGTGCAACCAAACTTGCAGCTTGACAGGGCTAAGTACTGTATAGAATACGATTATCAAATTTTGATATCTCTCCTTCCAGTTACAACCGGCCACGGGGTGAACTGATACGATCACGGCGCGTCATGCGTGACCAGAGCTCCTACCTTCTACCTGAAAGCTTATTCGAGTTAACAACCACAACGAGGCTGCGGGCTCGCCCAATCAGACTGCGTGTTAGTGGAATCAGGCTGCACGCACGGAAGTTCTTCTCCAACAGAGTGGTTTAAGCATGGAATTCCCTGTCTGTGGATTCCGTTACGTCCGCGTCCGTGGAGGATTTTATGGGGAAGCTGGATCAATATGGCAGTACGCACCATAATTCCATCCAGCCATCCTTGGCTTGTCCATCTTGCAGTTACGGTTATGATACTACTATAATATTCCAGTAGCGTTAATTTATGAGATGTTTTTACTGCCTCAATCTCAGAGCACATATTTACTGACGTTCACCTTAGAGCTTGCAGACCACTGGGATCATGTTGTTCTCTCTGCGACATACTTGCTCTGTGTAGGTCTATGTACATTCTCGATCCTTCCTCGCTCCCTTATGTGTACACCTGAACTTATCTGTACTTTTTCTGAATATGCTAAAATACGCAAAACAACCAGTTTCGACTTGCGCCAATGCGTGTCTCGTTCTCGCTACCCGAAACATTACTGTAGCAATCTACCCGCATTCCCTGTCGTCCATTCTCGCCGTTATATATATATATTGTTTGAAAAACGGGCATCCCAAGAAATTTAATTAGAAGGATGGAATTCTCTGGGAAACGGCAAACGTTGTTGTGTAAATTTTCGAGACTAGTTCCCCAGCTCGTTTTCAGACTATAGCAGTGCAAAAACCATTAACTTCTAAACTGAGTCTGGCAAAGGATTATATGATTGGCCAAAGTTTGAGCCAATGCGTGTCTGATTGGCGTCTGAATGGCCTCAATAAGCCGAATGGTATACTTGCTTTTTGTCTGCATGTTGGTTTGTAGGCCTATACAGAACAGTAACATTTTCGGGGGTAGTTTGTCGAAAGCAGCGTTGCCATCAGTAACCTGCTTGCCGAAATGAGCCTACATTGACCACCCGACTGATACTAGCAAAGCGGCCCTGAACCAGTGTCCCCGTATTGCGCAGCAACGGTTGCGGTGAATACAGGACGCTTGGATGGCTCACAGGGCCAAAGAAACCCAAAAGTATGCCGGCCGCGATGAAACGAAGAACTTCTTCGTTGCGATCAAGACGGTCTACACCCCCTTTCCCCCACCGAACGAAAAGAACTGCACCGTTTCTTAACTCCGATGGATAATTTTTTCTGATGGAGAAGTCACGGATTACGAAGCGCTGGGCCGAACACATCAGAAGCGTCCTCAACCGCTCTTCTTCAACCTTCGACGCGGCCATAGACCGTATTCCACAAGTACAAATCAACATTAAGCTGGATCACCCGCCATTCCTTCCAGAAACCATCTGCGCTGAGCAACGATTCTCCAGCAGGAAAGTTTCAGCCCCTGTTTCGATCGCAGCTGAAATCTACTACCACGGCGATCACAGACTTGGAGATTATCTCAAAGTGCTCTTCTAGGAGATGTGGCGCCTTGGTCAGGTCCCTCAGCATTTCAATGACGTGACAATTGTCCACCTCTACAAGCGCGAATGGAACCGGCAGCTTTGTGATAACCACAGAGGCATGGGTGGGAAGATCTTCGCTCGCTTTCTCCTCAATCGTCTTAACGGCCACCTACAGCAAGGACGGTTGCCGGAAAGCCGGTGTGGCTTCCGACGACACCGGAGCACCACCGACACGGTCTTCGGCGCTTGCCAGCTGCAGGAAAATTGCCAGGAGATGTAAACTCACCCCTAAACTATCTTCATGTACTTGGCAAGGCCTCTGATGCGGTGAATCCCGATGAACTGTAGAAAATCATGCAGAAATTCGGCTGCCCTGAGCGATTCACACACATGGTGTGTCACCCCCACGTCCGGATGATGGTGCGTGACACAGATAACGGCGCAATCTCCGAGGCATTCTCAGTGACAAAGTGAGTGAAACGACACTGCGTAGCCGCCCCCACCCTCTTCAGCCTCATGTTTTACGCCATGCTGACGGACGCCTACTATGATGAGCGCCCTGAGATCCGTATCGTCTACAGGTACGGTGGCCCTCTTTGTGGTAGCCGACGCATGCAAGCCCCACCACGTCTCCGCGATTTTATCCACGATCTGCTCTTCGCGGATGACTGGGCGCTCAACGCCACGATCGAAGGAGACATGCAACGGAGCATGGACCTCCTCGCCGCCGGGTACGCCATCTTCGGTAGCCATGCACCAACCGTCGTCCAACACGGACTACATCATTCCTCGCATCGGTGTCAACAGCACTCAATTTAAAACCGTCGAGGTATGATAGGTTTGGTAGCCCCACCTGATGGACACAATATTGTTGGCGTTCGGGTTAAGGGTTAGGATTTAGGATTAGGGGTTATAGTTAGGGGCTAGGGTAAGGGGTTAGAGCAACGACTTCTCAACCATTGAAAGTACAACCACGCACTCCCAATAGCTTTTCTTTTGCATACAACTACTTGACCCCGTCGCCTGTGCGTTCTCCGGCTCCACCTGTAAAAACCCCTATTGCCATCGGTCCCGTATTAGAGGTGACTGAGGTTTGTTTACTTCCGGTGGCCGTGCTACATAACCACATCCGACCACCGTCGACAACATCAATTACCTAGGAGCACGTGTACAGTGCGTGACCTATCTCATGAAATGTTGGCTGAAATTCTGAAATGCGTTTTCGATTAGGAAGGGTTACTTGGTCGCGGTTGTGATACTGATTATCATAAGGCATACTCTTATAACATTTTGGACTCGGCAGGATGTCGGCTTTTAAATGCACTTCTATTTAATCTCCTGTAGAAAACGTGCTCGGTAAAATATGACTACTTAAGTAGCATGCATTTTTCCCATTGATTTTCGATGGTCTTGGAAATTCAAATATATTTTATAGAAACCGCAAACAAAAATATGCTTTCTTTTAGTTAATCAATAGAGAATCACGTCTACTTTATATTTTATACTTAAGGAAGGAGTATAATTAGGGTTTAAAACGTTTTCTAATTGCCGAATAATTTGGAGCCTGATCATTCGTTGCATTAGCGCTTAGTCATTACACTCTACAAGGTGCATGCGTTCGCGTAAAGAAAATCCTATATTTTTCTATGTCATTAAAGAGGTATCATACAGAGTCCATAAAATTTTGCAATGAATGCGGACCATGTTGTACATTTCATGAGGAGCAGTGGTAAACGGCCAGGTACGATGCTATGTCAATGGACATATCGCGGTCTTAAAAAGTCTCATAATTAGAAACTTTTTTAAAACGTAATTATACTCCTACCTTAAGCATGAAATATAAAGAAGACGTGATTCTATATTGATTGACTAAAAGAAAGCATATTTTTGTTTGTGGTTTCTATAAGATATATTCGAATTTTCAAAACCATCAAAAATCAATGGGAAAAATGCATGCTACTTAAGTAGTCATTTTTTACCGAGCACGTTTTCTACAGGAGATTGAAAAGAAGTGCATTTAAAAGCCGACATCTTGCCGAGTCTAAAATATTATAACAGTATGCCTTATGATAATCAGTATCACAATCACGACCAAGTAATCCTTCCTAATCGAAAACGCATTTCAGAATTTCAGCCAACATTTCATGAGATAGGTCACGCACTGTAGTAGCCCTACTCCGAGCTCCTGTCGCAATGCTGGACCTCTCGCGGGTGTCTGCACGCGCGCACCAGGGCTGTTTAGCGTCTGCCCACTCGGCTCTTCAGCTGGCCAATCAGATTCACGGGCGAGTCAGACGTGTCCTGTCTTACGACACTGTGACGCATTCCCTTACTGACACTTGGCAGGCTGTTCTCCCGGTGCCGAAGACTGCCAACTCCTTCCAATCTTTTCTCCAGTTGTCCTGTGCAGAATATACAACCTCCCATTAGGAGTCCATCTTCTCTTTCCATTTGGAACGGGGTCCTGATGGTTGTAATATGCAGGGTCTCGCTCACGGCTGTTACCCGCCGACCGGGGTGACAAAAACGACGTCACAAGGACAGTGAGGAACTCTCTGAAGCGTCCATATCAACCCGGAGATCTGGAAGGACTTCGCGCAGAACAGACCGTCGTGATGAAAAGCAGTGCAGACTGGCGCAACAAACTACGAAACAATCCGATCACTGCCGCCAAAGCCAAGGGAGAAGATCGAAAGTCTCAGGCACTCCTGACCCGCAGCATCGTCACTCAACCCCATTCAATGTGCCTACGCTGTCAACGAACATTCCACGCGCAGATCGGCCTCATCGGTCATCCTCGAGCCCAACCGCAACTACCGCCCCTGCTCCAACCTTCACGTCGACCACGACTGCATCCAAGTGCGTCTTCGGGGTGTCCGCCCTCGAATTTCTCAGACATCCGGTTGACTCCAACGGCATCCATCCTCGTCCATCAATGCTTGCGGCTATATGTGATTTCCCACCTCCCTCTTCCAAACGTCCGCTGCAGCAATTTCTGGACATGGTGAATTTCTATCAGCAGTTCCGTCCAAACTGTGCCAACAGCATCCTGCCGTTCACGAGCCTCCTCTCGGGTCCCAAACGTTCGTTCAGACTATCCGCAGACGCACTCGCAGCTTTTGACGAGGTGAAGGCTGCCCTGGCCGACGCCACCCTCCTGACGCATTTTTCTCCCAATGTTCCCGTCTCTCTCATGGTCGACGCCTCCAATGTTTCAGTCGGCGCGATTTCCCAGCAGCACCTTGCAGGCCACACTCAACCCTTAGCTTTCTTCTCCGGGAAGTTGCCAGCTGATGAGACGTGGTACAGCCCATTTGGAAGAGAACTCCTTGCTGCCTTCCTCGCCGTGAAACACTTCCGGCGCTCCCTTGAGGTTAAGGACTTTACCGTCTTCCGAATCTCAAGCCCCCGTCCTTCGCTTTCAAACCCCCTCTGACAGACTCAATCTCCAAAAAAGTCGCCAACTGGACTACATCTCTCAGTTCACCTCAAACATCCGCCACATCGATGGGTCACGCAATGAGGTGACTGACGCACTGTCTAGGCCCTCAATCGCACACTTCCAACTTTCTCCCCGAATTGACCTAGTTGAAATGGCTGCCGAACAGCGTCATATTAGTTCTCCCTGTGATAAGCACGTTCCCGGACTCAAATTCCAGGACCTGCCACTGACTACTGACAACGGCACCATTCGACGCGACGTCCCCACCGCCTCCCACCGTCCCTTTGTGCCGGCATCCCTCCGCCGCAAAGTCCTCTCCTCCCTGCACAATCTTTCTCATCCTGGGAGTCGAGCTACCGACAAGCTGGTTTCCGATCGCTTTGTCTGGCCTGGGATGCGCAAGGACCTGAAAGCATGGACACGGGCGTGTCTCGGCTGTCATCGGAGTAAGATCTAACGGCACAACAAAGCTCCCATCGTCACCCTCCCCACTCCGGGTGCTCGTTTCAGTCACGTCCACCTGGATATTGTAGACACCCTGCCTCTGTCAAATGGTTGGTCACATCTCCTCGCCTGTGTGGATCGATTCACCTGGTGCCGGAGGATATTTCGCTGCCCGATGTCGCTGCTGCAACAGTCGTCAAGGCTTTCCTAAGTCGTTGGGTTGCCATTTTCGTTGCTTCCCCCTCCCCCACTATCACGACTGACTGCGCTGCCCAGTTTGAATCTCACCTATTCCAGTCTCTTCCTTCTTTTGTAGGTTCTGCTCGTATCCACATTAAAGCCTGTCATCCGGCAGCCAACGGGATGGTCGAGCGGTTTAACCGCCATTTGAAGACCTCCCTACGTGCTGCAGACGACTCAGATAACCGGACGGACCACCTTCCCTGGTTCTGTTGGGCATTCTCCCCTCTCTTAAGTCGGACATCAACTCCTCCTCCGCTGGACTGGTGTTCGGCGTTGCCGTCCAGCTTCCTGGTGAGATGATCTCGCCAACCCCGCGAGGTGCCGTCAACGATCCCACCAACCTCCTGCACCGTCTCCGGCAATAGGTGCGGACACATTTTCCGGTTCCGCTCAGGCCATCCGTCTCCTAGAAAGACTTGGCGACATACTCTCACGTTTATCTTTGATGTGGTCGAGTCCGTCGCCTATTGAAGCCACCCTACGACGGCCCATTCCGAATTATCTCTCGTGGGAAGAAGACCTTCCCCATCCAACGCGGAACTCTCGAGGAGGTTGTGAGCTTGGGCCGTCCCAAAGCTACTGTTCCGGACACTCCTCTGAATGAGCCCTGTTCTCCCCTACCTTCTGCTTCACCTCCGCGACCCTCTATCTCTCCGTTCTGTATACTCCCTCCCCCCCCCCACATATCCACTACCACCAAGTGCAACTACCCCTTAATCAACCCCCATCACTGTAGCCGCAGGACAAACTCACTGGGCCCCTGTGCCCCCTGTATACAGTACCTGTGCTAACTCATGAAATGTACTGAATTAACACAGGTAAACGACTTTAACGCGGAATCGGTAAACACTACGGCTCCCAAAGTCTGATAGCGGAAAACAAAAGATGTGTCAAAGAAATAAAGCAAAGTTTGGTTTAGAAAATATTATTTACTGCGATAAAAATAAATAATTTTCGACAAAAGTCACATTTTCGAGAAACGCCTATATTACAACCAAGTTAATAAAGGCTACGTATGAGGGCGTATAAAGGAGGAGGGCGCATAAAAGGGCAAAAATAATTAAGGACAGAAGCAGATACAAAAAATCAGTACTTTGGTGATTGTCCATTTGAATTAATAACGGCAGAAAGTCTGTCAGACATAGACATGACGAGGTTATCTACGGTGGATTGTAAAATGTAATTATTGAGTATGAAATCCAATTTTTCCTGCATTGAATGTTATGAAACTTTTTTAATGTATGACGAATAAAATGATCGTCTTGCTTACTTGTGGACCGTTTGGGTCCCCCTATCTTATTTCTAGGAACAATTTTATCATTACTAATGCGCCACAGGTGACCTTACTAATATTGAAAATACTAACTAACGACTCAAACGAGATCCCCTCCGCCGCTAATTTTCGAATATACTGGAATTCAACTTCGGATAAGTATTGTTTAGACATAGGTATCGTTTGGCGTGATACAGAAAAGTGACGGCATGTCGTGCGAACTCAATATATATTCGTTTACGATACGCATTTTCGGTCTGGTAAAACAATCACACTGATAAACTTTTTTTATTTCGGTATATTGAAACATAAAACTTTATGGATTTGTAAAATAGAATTTTAAGATGAAGAATCGCACCTTATTTCCTGAACACAATAAGATATAATTTATCTGCATTTCACTGACTTTCGTGATACTGAAATTTAATTTTTTCTTTTTGCAGGAAAGTTTATTGAAAAATTTCCTACTTTTATTTATCTTCTTAAACAGATTAATAAGTTAAAACAAAGAATTTCGATCCGAAAGCTTTAATAGCTTACGAAACTGCTTGAATATCAGGAATCCTCCGATTTTGTTTAAATTCGGCCCGTTTTCTATTAAATGTGCAAATCCGTATCAAACTTTCCTTCAGCAAACGGCCTTTTCGTCCTTATTTCAACTAAATAAACACAAATAACAACACCAAAAATACGCTACAGTTTCCACTCTAATTTTGACCTCGGCATTTCATGAGTTAGCACAGATACTGTATATCACCCGTAGTGGACGCCATGTTCATTTTGCTAGCCCTTTGACTATTCATGTATCTTAGACAAACATTTTCGGTTTAGCCGGGGGTAGGTGTTGTGGCGGTCTGCGCTTCCTTGCTGTCTGCCGTTTTTTCTAGGTGCCCTTCTCTCCGCCTCACGCTCCCTGCCGATTATTTGCTAGGACCGCGTGAGGCTTGTCACTAGCCTCGCGAGTGCTCAAAGACCCTGCCCCTCCTCTAATTGGCTGGCGGACACTGAGACAGACCGGAAGGTGCACACAGGCACTGGGGGCTGATACCCTCAACGGCGGATACCGGACAGAACAACTTGACTGGAGAGACAACCTGCGACAACTGCCTGCAGAGCCTACTGTACGCCCTTACACATACGTAAAGTTGTCCAACCCAATCCGTCTTCCTTGACTTCTGATTTGGAAATCATTGTGCTGTCGATCATACCACCATCGACGGTGCAACGGAGTTCGTGTTGAATACGCTGTCGTCTCTGAACGGTTGGTTTGTGGCAGTTGTTGGTCGGCCAAACTTAGAGCCAGATGTTTGTGCTATGTCCGGCAATGCAAGAGTTTAGTTTGTGATAAGTCATTAAAGAGCAATATGTCGATCAGCGTCGCGGTGCTGATAGGACCGAGGTCGAGTCACACGCGGCGCAGGCAGTCAACTATCAAGGGGATTCGGTCTTCATCGCCACGCCGGTTAGACTGCCACAAGCTAGTGCTAGTAGGTTTCTTCCGAATCGACAGTTTCTTGGCTTTCACCCCCTCCTCCCCGAAGGAGCCGGTGTTTTTTGGTGACTTTGTCTGGACACATGTTATTCAGTAAGGTATCCTTTGGGGGAAATTACAGTGCGTGACCTATCTCATGAAATGTTGGCTGAAATTCTGAAATGCGTTTTCGATTAGGAAGGGTTACTTGGTCGCGATTGTAATACTGATTATCTTAAGGCATACTCTTATAACATTTTGGACTCGGCAGGATGTCGGCTTTTAAATGCATTTCTTTTCAATCTCCTGTAGAAAGCGTACTTGGTAAAAAAATGACTACTTAAGTGGCATGCATTTTTCCCATTGATTTTCGATGGCCTTGCAAATTCAAAGATATTTTATAGGAACCGCAAACAAAATATGCTTTCTTTTAGTCAATCAATATAGAATCACGTCTTCTTTATATTTCATGCTTAAGGTAGGAGTATAATTAGGTTTTAAAAAAGTTTCTAATTATGAGACTTTTTAAGATCGCGATATGTCCATTCACATAACATCGTACTTGGACGTTTACCACTGCTCCTCATGAAATGTACAACATGGTCCGCATCCATTGCAAAATTTTGTAGACCCTGTATGATATCTCCTTAATGACATAGAAAAATATGGGATTTTCTTTACGCGGAACGCATGCACCTTGCAGAGTGTAATCTCTAAGCGCTAATGCAACGAATGATCAGGCTCCAAATTATTCGGCAATTAGAAAACTTTATTAAAACCCAATTATACTCCTTCCTTAAGCATGAAATATAAAGAAGACGTGATTTTCTATTGATTGATTAGAAGGAAGCATCTTCTTGATCATGGTTTCTATAAAATATATTTGAATTTCCAAGACCATCGAAAATCAATGGGAAAAATGCATGCTACTTAAGTAGTCATTTTTTTACCAAGTACGCTTTCTACAGGAGATTGAAAAGAGATGCATTTAAAAGCCGACATCCTGCCAAGTCCAAAGTGTTGTAAGAGTATGCCTTAAGATAATCAGTATCACAACCGCGACCAAGTAATCCTTCCTAATCGAAAACGCATTTCAGAATTTCAGCCAACATTTCATGAGATAGGTCACGCACTGTATGTCATCAGCAGTGATTGCTGCCGAAGACATTTGCATGTCGAGGTAAAAAGGGTACGAAGCTACACTCTTCTAGCTCTTGGCTCTGTAAGGACCCATTGGAATTATTTGGCGGCATTTGGTTCTGCATGCCGCAGTTAAAGGCCTTTTCAGAAAGTTCTGATTCAGTTTTGCCAGTCTTCACCAATCCACATCCATTGTGTACAAGTGGTATCACGTCGAACGGAAACCATACGAGGCCAGAAATAGAAAATTCCTTTAAACCGCTATGGCGTTTGAAGTTGAGAATGTGCCGCTGAGCGGAGTGAAGACTGATTACGTATTTGTGACAAAAAACATGTTTCGCCCTCAGATCAGTCTTTTGAGAAAATTAAAATATTGTAAAGCAGCCTTGCAAGTCTTCATTTGGTCACACCGTTGAAAAAAACGATTTAACCACTTGACAGCAGTTTTAACGGACCTGGTCCGATTGCCAGTGTCCTCATTTGTCTTTCGCCCAACCCAGATACAGGCTATGAGGGATTTTGATTTCCTGTGCATATCAGACAACTCGCATAGTGGTTTCTACTTGACCAAGCTGTTCGAATTGTCCTTTGCGAGGAGGTGATTCGTGTGGCTATGCCATAGTCTGCATTATTTGGATGGCACGAAACCTCCCGAATCTGATGGGGCGTTGGTCGTTCTGTATACTCGGATGCATCCTGCTCTCCTTTATGCTAGATGGAAATTGGTCAGACACAACAACAAGCCGAGACAGCGTGCGTTCGGATTCAGTTACTCCCACGCCCTGCGAATTGTTTTGCTACCTTTGTGTAAACAGCTTTTAGAGGTGGAAGTAAATGGTCACATAAACCTGTAGGATGCGGGCTGTCTCAGTTCCTGTTTTTCGATTTGCCGGCACAATCGGCTCGCGAAAACAGATCTGACGCCTAACCTTGGCTAGTACAAAGCTCTATGCGGTTGGATCTTTTCGGCTCGGCTGAACATCGGATTGTCGACGACGACCCGCCTCATACTTCCAGCCGAGTTTCGCCGGCTGGTTTTCATCAGCTGGCCGATAGCAACCCTGGACCCAGTCTCCGCTGTAGCATCACGTCTCTGTCTGATGTTTGTCCGCACACACCAACCACTGTTCGTTTGGCAGGCGTTATGCAGTTTTATGCGATGACCGGTCACTCAAATGCAAAGTTGATGCGGACGTACTCTCAGTCGGCTTATTTGGATCCTGTCTCGGCGGGCGCCGCACTCGCTTCTGGATGCCAGCTTACCCTAACAGCACTTTCTTACTTCAGTGCGTATAGAATATGGCTCTCCCACTACTGGCATCCCTTTATCTCCTAATCGAATCCTCGTCTGATGGTTGGGTGATCAGGGCCTGATCATGACTTGCTACCGGGGCAAGCCAACTCCAGTCCCTTCCC